AGAGTCATGAGACCAGAAGGGGTGCTCTCATATCCTACAACAGCAGCTGAGCCTAACGGAGGTGGGGGTGGGGTGTGGAAAGAAAGACTTCCTCTAGCTTGGCAGGAGCTCAGCCAATGAGAGACTGTCACAACTCAGCCAACGAAAAGACTCTACACTTTGAACTCTCAATTCCTTCAATGGACTCTTTTTAACTATATCCCTCCCGACTTCCTTTTCCCCTCTATAAAAGTGTTCTCTTCTTCTTGTGTGGGGATGTGCATGTGGCTCACTATGACTGCAGACCCCAAATTGCAATTCTTTGCTGATCCTGAATAAATCCACTTTTGCTGGAGAAGTAACTGACTGTCATATTAGTTTTAGGTCAATATGCATCAGAAATACCTTGGGTAATCATTAAAATGCAGATTCCTAGGTTCCACTTCAGACCTATTATCTCAGACTCTCTGAGAGGTGAAGCTTGAAAATCCGCAATTAATATTATCATCTCAAGTAAGTTTCATGTGCACACAAAGATTTGAAGGTGCTGATCTAGCTCCTCCCTTCTATTTTACAATTAAGAAATTTAGGTTAAGAGATGACACTGAGCAACTTGTATGAAGACACGCAGCTTTCACTTGAATTTTCTTTGGGATTTGGATCTCTCAGATCACCTCGCCCAGTGATCTAGGTCGGACTTCAGCCCTGAGGTGTGACCTTAGGTAAGTGAGTTTAACCACTCTGAACCTCAGTTCTTCATTCATAAAATGGCAATAATTTCCACTCTACCTACGTCACAGGAGTGAAGAGTCAAATAGGATGCGGCTGTGAAAGTGCTCATTTGTCATTGTTATTACATTGTTGTGTGTCTGAAATCAGAGTTCTGGATACAGGTCAAGAAACCAAGGAAGAGTGGCAAGAAAGGTAAAAGCGTTCATAATAGGTAGACCCAGAAGAGGAAATGCCCGGAAAGGCTAACCTTTAGCTGTGTGTGTGTGTGTGTGTGTGTGTGTGTGTGTGTGTGTGAGCCTCTTTTAACCACAGTCAATTAAGTTAGATTTTCCTTTCAGCAGGGAGTGGGGGCAAAACAGATGGAGCCAGACGTCATTACTTCAAAAGAGGTGTGTGGGGGTAGAATTAGCAGGTTCTACTAGGGCTCCAGAAATAGAGTTTTATAGATAGAGCACTAAAAGAAGGGCTCATATGCCAATGCTTTTTGTAAAGCTAGGTTATTCTTGACACCAAAACCACAGATGGGCAGTAACACAAAGAAACATTGCAAACCAATCTCTCCTATGTGCACAGATGCAAAGTCCTAAAAAAAATTATTAGTAACCTAAACCCAGAAATTCATCGAAACAATATGCAGTAACTTGACTTTCACTCCGGGAATGCAAATCCCTGTCCCTTAATCTCTAGAATCCTTATGATTCAACTAGAAAAAGACAGTCAACCTAATAGAAAAATGGGCAAAATATATGAACAAACATTTTGTAATAGAGAAAATGACTGCCCAATAAATATATGAAAAAGCTTAGTCTTATTAGTGATCATGCTGATAACTGAGCTGACTATATAATTTGAGAAGTCTAAAAAAGAGCAGTGGAATAAACTTAAAGTTCAAGTCAAAACTGTAAGATACTCCACAAATTAGTAAGAATTAAAATGTCTGAAAATATCATGTACTGGTTAGGATGTGGAGGGACAGGAACTCTAATACAATGCTGGTGGAAATAGAAATTGTAACAACCACTTTGAAGACAAATGGGATTGGTAAGAGTAAAGCTGAAGATGTGTGTAGTCTAAAACTTGGCAATTTTGCTAATTCCACAGAAACTCTTACACATGTACGCAAAGAAATATGTGTTAAAATGCTCATAGTAGCATTGTAAAGCTTGAAAACAATTCAATATCCTCAACAATATGATGAATAAATATACTGTGCTATAGTCACATGTAGAACACCATACAGCAGTGAACATTGATGAAAATTAATTTTATGCTTCATAATTGATGAATCGCAAAAACTTAATGTTGTTGGGTGAAATAAGCATATCATAGAAGACAGCATAAAGTATGAATCCACTTACATAAACATTACAGTGTGGTCAAAATGAAACATGTGATTTGGTATATATTACACATATTGTAAACATTTGAGGAAATGATCTTCACAAATTCAGGATGAGGTGGGACTGGGAAGTTGTGATTGAGATGAGGAATCCAACAGGCTTCTAAAGTACTGGGAATTCTCTGTTTCTTAAGATGTGTGTTTGGTATATATTAATTGTTGAGGTATTCGTTTTATTATTGTTTTTAGACTAACTATACAATGTACACCCTTTGAATATATATGAGATAGTTAACAATTTTTAAAAGGAAGACAGAGAAAGGGTATATTTTCCCCATAAAAAGAACTATAATGCAGGGAAAAGAGTTCCACAAAATTAAGGTAGTAATGTAACTGTCTGCCAGAAACAAACAAAAAAACAATGACAGTCTTCTAGAGAAAGAAAGTAGAACCCAAAGTCTCAATATTCTTATATGTACTCCCCCCTGCCACCCAAAAAAAGCAGATCAAGAGATGACCAGGTGGTGCAGTTAGCAGACTTTACAGTAGGTAATACAATAAAGAACTGATAGGAAAAGTGGTCCAAATAGGTAATCAGATGTGAAATCTCACTAGTAAAACAGCCTCTTTACAAAAGAAACAAATGGACATTCTAAAATAAAGAGTCCAATATTTGAAATGAAAAATTCAGTGGATCAGCTACCCAGAAGACTGAATTTAGCAGAAGAATCAGAGAACCTAAAAAAAGGTAAGTAGAAATTACTCACACTGAAATAGAAGAGGAAGATAGAATGAACAAAACAGAAGAGTGTTTAAGACTTGTGAGGCAATATCAAATTAACTAACAAAGGTGTTGAGACCCAGAAAGGAAAGAAAAGAGTCAAGAGAGAAAGGGAAGAATAAATCTTTCAGGACACAATGTTAGAAATATTAAAAAATTAATGAAACACATCAAACCATAGATCAAAGAAACTCAGAGAATACCAATCAGGACAAATACAAAGGAGACTACACTCAGCCTACTTTAGTCAAGAACTACGGGAAAACAAACATGGAGAGAACACATGTAAAAAGCAGTCAAAGAAAAGGAAAACATTACACTCAGGGGAACAATCATGATTCTTTACTCTGTCATTTCCATTCTGCTGTTGAGCCTGCCCAGTGAGTTTTATATTTTTCAGCTCTAAAATTCAATTCTATAATTGGTTATTATATGTTTTAGTTCTAAAATTTTTTCCTTGATTTTAAAAAAATATATTGTTTCTTTGGCAAGACTTTCTGTTTTTTCATTTATTTCAAATGTATTTGTAATTTCTTGCAAAAAAATATTTTTACTATGTTAGATAAAACCCCTGTCAGATAATCCCCCAAGTTGGTATCATTTCAGTGTTAGTATCGATAACATCTTTTCTCATTCAAGTTCTTGGAATGATGAGTAATTCTTGATTGTGTGCTAGACATTGTTGGCATTGTGTTATGAGACTCTGGATCTCCTATTGCAGCAAGCCTTTCTCTGCTAATACTGTACCAGTGAGGTATGGGGGGGTATCATTTCCTTACTACTGGGTACAGGCGGGAGTCCAATATCCCCAATCTTTTTTTCTGAGATGGTTGGCTAAAGTAGGGTGGATATTGTCAAAAAAAAAAAATTTCTGCCTTGCTAGGTTACCTCTTTTTTGGTTCTATGAATGGAGAAAGACTTTCTTGGGGCTGCTTTCTGCCCACATTTGCTGGCATTTCTTGGCTGCAGACTATCTAGAGCCAATCTGGGATATACAGAAGGCAAAAAGAAAACCCAGGAAACTTACCATGGTGTCACTCCTCAAGTCCTGAGGACTCTAGCTACTCTGCCTTCTTCTCCCCACCTTTCAGACTCTGCTTGTGTCTGTGTTATACATTATGACCGGATATTTTAGTTACACTAAGCAGGGGCAGTATGGTGAAATGCATCTACTCTATCTGGTACAGAACTAAAAGTCCTACTTTCATTAAAAAAGATAAAAATAATACAGTGGGTGGACTCTATGATCTTTAAGGCTGGTACCTGTTTTGATTTCCGTAAGTTACTGTTATAAAATGATGAGGGTGGTGGTGACTCTGTAAATGGAAAAGGTGGGGAGGGATCATCTGTCTTTCTGTCTCCAGCAGTGACTGGGTAGAGTGAATACCTTAACTTTTTGAGGTTGCAGGTGTGTTGTTTTGGGTAAATCAATAAGTTAGCATTTACCTAGAGCTGGCAGAGTGCCTGACCAGGCTGATGGTTTACATGTCTTTTGAGGGCTAAGCAAGTAACAGAGCAGCTGTAACTTCTTCCTTAATTGGAATGTTTCCCGTGTTTCTCCGTGATCTCTCTGGTGCTAGAGTTAAACATTTCACACAGTTATGCTGTATTCCTTAAATGGGGTGAAGCTCCTTCAAGAGACCGGGAAACAGCTCCTCTTCTTCCTCCTGTCCCTGCAGGCGCCTAGTAAGAGGTCTTACACACTGTAGAGGCTCATAAACATCTGATATGATCATTCCTTTTCCTGTGAGTCTGGGTAGCATGAGCTGCTTCTTATGTGCAGTCACCTGCTTTTAGACCTTGCAGACAAGGCTCTGGACTATGAGAAAGAGCATCTTCCCAGGGTAGCCTTGTCTTAAAAAGGTACTGAGCTCAAGGAGGAAGCCCATGGTGACTACCCCAACCGAGCAGGGGTTGTTTGTTGAAGTCTTTCCCCAGGGTCTTTGTGTTTTGGAATCGCTTCATGACTTTTAGCCGTAAATCAGAGAATTCACATGTTTGGTCCTTGGTTGCTAGCCATTCCCCGCCTCGCTGGTTCCCAGGTACCCACTCACTTTCCCCCGACAGAATAAATAACAATTGTTGAATGACTGTTTCAGTGGATGAATGAATGGACGGAAGAGGAATGGAATGGAATGGAAGCTACAAAGATGCCTGGAAACCCAGAAATTCTCATGAATTGCAAATTTATTGACTGAGGAGGTACTGGGATTGGGAGGTAGTTGTACGGAAACCAAGGAGGGAAAACTGCAGAACAACAAGCAGTTTGGGAACTCAGTGGCTTCGGGCGGATTAAGACGTGAAGGATTGAGAAACCTCAGGGCAATATCATGAGAGCGCTAAGCCCATCGGCGCCCACGGAGCATTACACCTCCAGCTCCTTCCCCTCCGTGGCGTCCAGGGGGCCTTATTTGCATGGCCAGGTAGGCGCTTGCTTCTGCTGGGTCTGGTGGCAGATTGGGACGCCCTTGCCGCTCCCAGAGCCACCCCCGGAGGAGACCCCTCCGCAGCTGGAGCCGCCGCCGCCCCCGGAGGAGCCGCCGCCGCAGCCGCCGCCCCCACCGCTGGAGAAGCAGCCGCCGCCGC